TCGTTAATGTGAATCGTCTTCTTCATATTAAAGATTCCCCAATCCATATTCTTATGGTCCATTATCTACAACATACATTTGGGATTTTTGGGCTGGTATTCCCTTTATTTCTTTCTTCTCCAAGGCAAAAATCCTCTCGCAAGTGTCACTTTTAGTACGTTTGTGTGTTTTTTAAAATAAAATTAAAAAAAAAAAGGTTGAACCCCAACCTTGAGGGTCCCCACCGCCCCGCCCCTAGAGCTCTGTGAGGGAGGTAAATCGCTCATGTATTCAGCCTCGTTTAATGGCCATTATTTGGCCCAAACAATATTTTGAATAGTAATTTTTAGTAGAATGTATGATTAAAAAGTATAAAAAAACCTTAAACTTATGAGCAGAATGTTTTATTTTGTGAATGTGCGACAAAAAATAAGCATGTAGAAAAAATAGTTTTCAAATAATAGTTGTCAAACAAAGCTCAATATAACACCCAAAGAGAAGGAAAAATTAAAGTGGTTGAATGTGGTTCGTCCTTCCTAATATCTGTATTATATCGGTAAATTTATCGTGAATGTAGACTATAATTTATAATCAATAAGTGTTTCTGGAATTCGAAGTCATTGTATATCAATATTAACATCAGGTTATATGCAACTTGAATGTGATTGAACAGAGTTATAATTCATTGATAGTATGTTGCCGTTTGTTTAAAGCATAGGGGATTTGATATATATGGACGCGTTCATTTTTAGCAATTATGATAGTTCAAATTCGGAAATCATTCAATTCCTTACTTTGTAAAGAGGCATATGACATTTATTTGGTGTAATCATTAGTTGTTGTGCATTCTGCTTCCTTCTTGCAGTATAAACACTTCACTACTGGATGACTTCAAAATTCTCTTTCTATTCATTAATTTGGTAGTCAGTCAATTCCATTCCTGGGTGTTTTAGCATACATAATATACAAATTTAAAAGGGTTGTACCTGATGCTTTGAAACTTATACGTTGCTTTTGCAGGTTGAAAAGTTCACAGAATTACTCACAATATATTTGGAATACTGCACCATTGGTTCCTACCTAATTGTTTCAGTAACAAGTTAGTCAGGAACAAATAAAAAGAAACAAGTTGGTTCCAACATTTTATTGTAATTGCACAATCGACCAAATTGAGACGATAAACCTAACTTCATATAGTTGGACGTGTGAGGATCATCTGATAATTAAAAATATTTGAGAGGGTCAATTTTTTTTCCATTGGTTACCTATTGAAGTTATGGAGCATTTTGTGCCGTTTAACAGTTTGGGCTCACTAGCTATTGGGCATATATTGTGAGAGCAAATGGTGCAATTTTTCAACATATATTTCGAGTCCTTTTTCTCTGCTCTATCAATCTATCTCGAGAATTATAATTCGAAAGAACAAACCATTTGCTTTGATACTTGTGTATAGTGAATTTATACTGAAACTTATTAGCATGGTCCAAGTGCAGGAGTTATCTGGAAATGGAAAGAAGATTCAAGGTTTATGTTTATGAAGAAGGCGAGTCACCATTAGTACATGATGGGCCGTGCAAAGACATATACACAAGTGAAGGAAGGTTCATACACGAGATGGAACAGGGTAACAATGGGTTCAGGACAAGAAATCCAGAAGGTGCTCATGTTTACTTCTTGCCCTTTAGTGTTACATTGATGGTCAAGTACCTCTACCACCCCAACACGTACAATGTCATCCCACTCAAAGAGTTCGTGTCTGATTACGTGAGAATCATCTCCAGGAAACACCCATTTTGGAATAAAACTCAAGGAGCAGATCATTTCATGATTTCGTGCCATGATTGGGTAAGCACAATTTATTCAATGTTTCGTTTGATTTATTCGAATACCAACCCTAATTAATTATAACAAGGCTTGGAAATTGAAGTTTTCTGGTGCTCCACGGAAATAGTCCATGGAAGCGCAATTCTATAATGGTTCGAATTAGGGATATAAACAGTGTTATTCATCAAATTTATGGCGATGTTTCACTCTTGGCCATTGAACTTCTATTTTTATTGCAATTTAGGCACTCAGCGTACCCTGAATTACGTAATATGAAAAAGTGCGTACTTAAGACAAGGGATAATTGCAGTTGAGATTCCAAGCCTTTCAAAAGATTGTAAACTTTTTCCTAAGATTTCATTTGTTGCAATCATCACCCCAAACCTTTCAAAAAGTTGCGAATGAAGCCCCAACAAACGGATTCCATCCATATTTCAATCAATTGACCAAAAAATTACACTTTGACCATTTTTTAAATAATTTAGAAAGGATAAAATAGTAATTTTATATTTATCACATTAAACAATTAAATTAATTAAAATAAAATACTAAAAAAGAAAATACATGTAGTCTTCTTCTTCACCTACTCCCACACCCCGCATCCCTCCCCAACACCAAAATCAAAATCATGGATGCCACCACACATCACCCTAATACCACCACCTCCCTCACCCAACCTAACCCCAATATCAAAATCAACATCATCTTCTGTTGGGCATCCATATCATATCATTTGAAATTGGAATTCAAACCATTGTTTGCATACGATGGCTATGTCCCTCTTTAGCTATTCCACAATTTTGGAACCCAAGTTGAGTCCCCCCCCCCCCCCCCCCCCCCA